AAAAATATATGAAATAATGCAGAGCAGAAAAATAGATTTCATGATAAAACCATCTATTGACTCTTACTGCTGAAAAGTGGCAGTGAACAGAATGGGAAATTTTTCTTGAATGCACCCATACAATTATGGTTAAGCAGGCTGATTAATGCATATAGTACATTTATGGTTTCAATTCCAAAAGCTCCTACATAAGGCAACACTACAGGCCTAGAAATGAGGAACCCTTGGTTGAGAGGGAAAATATTGCCTTCAAAGACTGGCTAATGACAGAAAAGGAAAAAATAAGATTAAATGGTCAATACTCATCATGGCAAAAGATCAAGAGTAGAGTGTCTCAAGTTTCAGTATTCTACATTGTTTGATATCCATCAACCGGAAAAGGGTGCAAGAAGTTAACTAACAACATTTGTGTGTAATGGTTATTTGGGTTAGTTAAGACCAGAAAGGACTATTAGAAGCTGCAGAGATACACACATAAATAAGCTAGGTGAATGGGTAAAACAATGGCAAATTAAATTTAATGTAGTAAATCCAAAGCTTCACCCCTTAAATGAAAAATGAAAAGCCACTTGCATACCATACAGGGAATCTCCATTAATTATGTCAACTCAAAAAAAGGGCTCTAAGAATCATTACGGGTAGATCGGTGAATCTACTCTATGTGCTCAAGACAGTTTTAATAGGGTGCATAAAGAACAGGAATGAGACGAATTGAAAAAGATGTTTTGATATTTATGCATATCCAGCAGTCTGGTATTATTTGAAATACTGTGTAGAGTACCATTTCAAAAATAATATTATAGAAATGAGAAGAAAATCAGAGAAAAGCAACAAGAATGATCAAAATCATAAAAACAATCTCATAAAGAGAAACTGATAGGATTGAAAATGTTTTCTGTAGAAAGAAAACAAATAAATAGTGCATCCTTCTGAATAAGATACACTTGTTAAAGAAAATATGTCTTCTAAAAATACTCTGCACTTTAAAACTGGAATAACAAAAGTGTAAGAGGTCAGTGGCATGCTGCCTGGAGCCAAGTGGTCTCTCTACTGGAATAGTTGTGTTCTGTCCTTTGGAAAAATCTCCTGCCATGCACTGATGTTAGAGAAAGAGGTGCCAAAACACTTTTGGAAGACAAAGAATTGGTTATAGGCTCAAGAAGTCAACTTATCTTTGCAGGACTGCACCATCCCGATACCCTGCCCTAACCATACCAGATGTTCTGGGCATGTTGTACTTGGCTATGGGCCTGAGGCTTGGCCCCAGTCTTATGGACTCCTCAGCTGAGGCTACTCCTCCATGTCAGCTGCTTGCCCCATTCTTCCCTGCATGGGTCCTAAACCAGCAACTTCTCCATGCTAATCCCACCCTTAACTTTCAGGGCTGGGATGGACTTACCCCTCTCTGGGGGGTATCTTGTCCCTACTCCTTTTTCCCTCTATGGTCCCAAAGAAGTTATCTTCACCCCCCAGGATTGAACTCCCTGATGGGGCAGCCTTTTCCATCTCGGCACTGGTTTCTACCAGGTAAGTTAGGCAATGGGACCCTCCTCTGAGCCACAGGGTCGGTCCCTCCTTGTCTCGGCTTTCACTGTTCTCTCTGCTTCTTTGCTCTTCTTTTCTTCCCGGGACCGACCCCAGATGCTCCTTCACCATTCCTTTAAATTTCCTTCCTGGCTGGCTGTGTCTGCTGTGGCAGCATCCAATTTGCTGCCTCCCTGACCCATCTGTTTTCACTTTTAACTTTTCAGCACAGCTTTTTTCCTCTCTTTTGGCCACGTTGTTTTCCCTGTCTTAGGCTCAAACCCTGGCAGTTGGGTTTGCCCTGGCAGCCTTTGAACTGCTGCGGCCCCAGCTGGTTCCTTTAATTAGTCGGGGTGCAGCATCCTTTCTGCCCCAGCTCACCGCAGTTTCCTCAGCATCTCCCAGTAAGTTTCCTTTCTTTGTTTTACTCCTCGTGCTCCTGTGGCAGGGTGCTTCAGCCACCCTGTCACAAAAAGTAAAAATGTTTTTTTTCCCCCTTAAAACAGGAGTTAGAAAATTTTGGTGTATTCTAAATTTCAAGGATAGGAACAGAAATTATACGTAAACTGGTATAGGTGAACAGGAAACCAGTTCAAGTGTGTAACACAACAGAAGTTCACTGCATATAAGCTGCTTTCAAAATGGTTAAAACCAGTTTAAGATAAACCTGGCTGGATGTAGTATCAGGATTAACTGATTTTGGTTAAATCAGTTTATTGAACTTCTCCCCCAGGTATACTCCAGATTCAAGCGGTCTGCTCCAGCCAACCAGGGTGGTGTGCTCTAGTGCCACACCCACCAAGGCTTCTGGCCTGATCCACTGCAGGTATATGGTTGCATTTCTGGAATCAAAAGTGAACAATGGTTCACTTGCTTATTGGTTCAATCTAGGCAGCTTAGACTAACCTGTGAAGATTAAATCAATTCAGCCTCAGGCTTTCTAACTGTCTGTACTTAGCACAAGGGCTTCTTATTAGTTAAAGGAACACAGCAAGAGGGGACATAGAGTATAAAATAATGCATAGCTTGGAAAGTTGATGAGGAATTTCCCTTCTCCCTTTCTCAGAACCCAAGAACAAAAGGTACATCCAAAGAAATTCAGAGATGGGAAATTCAAAACCAGTTAAAGGAAATGTTTTTTCATACGGTGTGTGATTAAACTATGACATTTTCCACAAAGTTGCTGGAGAAATAAGCCAAAAGTTATAAAAACGGATTGAACATTTATAAGGCTATCAGGAAATTCCACAATTATCTAAACAATAATATACATTTTATAAGGGATATGAACTCCTCTGCTTCATGATTTAAGCCAGTCTTTCATTCTTAGGGTCCCCCCCACCCCCCTACATGTTATTATGCAATTCACTAGTTAACTGCGCAATAAATTTAGATTGGCTACATGTGCAAATTAACTATGGTACCTTAAAAAGTTCCAACCAGCTATAAAGTTATTGTTCAAAAATGTGTAATAGCTTTATAGCTCATTTCTCTCTAGCTTTAAATTTGTACTTGTAGACAGTCCCCCATGGCTAGGAGACCACAACAGCATCCCCCAGCTTCTGGAGCCAAGAGCCCCCACAACTGACAGGACTCTTGGCCATAGCTGTACCAGCAGCAATAAGATGTGATGGGAATCTAATGCATGATCCCACAATCATGCCTCATGCATAGCAGGAGGCACAATTATGTGGATCATGCTTTAGATTTCATCACACCATTACCTGCACATGTAGAAGGGGCCTCAGAGACCAGGGAAATGCAGATTATACCATATCTTCCTATTACAGGACTTTCATACCTTCCTGTATATTTGGTTTTGACCAATGCCAGCAACAAGATACAAAACATAATGGACTTTGGATTTGATCCAGCATAATACCAATTCCTTTTTTTATATTCCTGCAATAAACAAAAACTGATCAATTTTCCTTTTAACCAATTTAAATGACCGAACTATCCAGTCATCAACAATGCAGATTAGTGTTTAGTCTTTCCTGTAGTATTCTAGACTCTGAACTCTCAAATTATTATAATACGCCTACACTAGAAAAGTAACCAATTTCTGCCAAAAGCAGCAGATTCAACTGAACTGAGACTAAACATGGTTTAAATGCAAGTGTAAACTGGAACATGCTATGTTGAGTACCGGTTCAGAAACTATGGTTAAAACCTGGTTAAGGCAAAAGTTAAAGTCACATTTTTTTAAGCGTTTCTAAACAGTTTGCACTCATCTAAAGCAGATAAACTACGTTCAGCAATTTATCTATGCCAGTGGTGCCAGACCTTTTCAGACCACAGGCCAGATGAGCAGTGCCAAGTCCAGCGCCATGTGTGGTCCTAGCTCAGCCAGGGCCTGATCCAGCTGCACAGAAACAGCCTGATTGGGGCCAATGCAACCACATGGGAAGGGCTTGGCCAGAGCCTGACACAGCTGCGCAGGAACAGCCCAGCTGCAGCCTGATCTGAGGCTGCATAAAGCCCCAGCTGGGCTGCACAATGTTGCACTGGGCCCTGGCCAGGTCCTTTCTGCATGGATGGATCAGGTCCCAACTTAATTCACCCATACAGGAATGTGGCCCAATCTCTCTGCATGGGGCCAGCCTGGCCAAGTTCCAGCCACATAGGGCTTGGAAATTTGGTGGCAAGGGAGTGATAATAGTGTTAACTGCCACCACTCTCCCACTACCAAATTTCCATACCCTTAGGGATACATGAAAACCAAATTACACGGCTCCACAAGCTGGACCTGGATCTGGGGCACCCCGATCTACAGTCATTGCTAACAACTATTCTCTACAACTAGTTATTCAGAAAAGGTCAAAGAGATTCTATACTGAGTGACAAACCTCCAAGCTGGTTTGCAGGAAACCTGAAAACAAAATTAGTCATCCTTTTTTTTTTTTTTTTTTTTAAAGAACTTTCCTTATTTTGGGCCTGATGTTATGTTACTGAACTCAACTGGACTTTTGTCCTGGACAGAGGTAACTACAGAGGCAGCCCAACCAGCTACTTCCACTAAGGGTGGCTTTCAGGCAGCTGTCAGCTATTGCTACAGGAGTAACAGCTGATAGGTGAGCCTGTCAGCAAGTCTATCCCACTCACTAATAGAGGCAGCAGGAGCTAAGGAGCAATCAATCCCCTCCCTGTCTGCTTAAAGGAGAGCATGCCTTTGTGGCAACATTGTTACACTCCAGTCAGGGACCTGTGCAGGCATGGCCTTCATAATCTATTTTTGTAGCACTATACATTTCACAGCATTACAAAGATAACATGCATCTAGGGCCTAAGATACTTTCCTCATTTAATCACTCCACTAAACAACTTCTAATGTCAAAATCAATAGAAAATCCATGTTCAATGTTTACATATGTTCTGAATGTAGATCATTGTGCTTCACATTATGCTTCTCAATTGTCAGCCCATTGAAAACCACCAAAATGTAGAAATAGAGCATTATTTTAAAAGAATCTTACTCATATTGATTCAACAGCAACTCAGCATATTTAATTTTCTGAGACATAGATTTTCTCTCCTTCTCTGCTTCTTCATAGATGTGTTTATAAGTCTGTTGGACTTTGGTAAGTTCTTGATAAATATTGTTATATATTTCTGATGCCTAAAAAAAGAAAACAAATCTTCTACAACTTTTTGTGATTAAATTTACATTATATTCTAACATACAAAAACTGTTCTGTTTTGTGACTTACTGATTCCAATTTTGAAGTGAGAATATAGTATTTTATGATGTCATAACACTTTACAACAAATAAAGCATGAAGTACATATACAGTCAAAACAGAAAACAACAAAGCAGGTATAGGGTCTTATACCATCAGGAAGCAAGAGCTAACAAAAAGACTCATTTTGTTGTAACATTTGAAAGTTTTCTATGAAAAGGTGGCTACTTGCATGGGAAGACAGTGACCTATGCAGCAGAATACAAAAACCTGAAAGAAGCCACAAAGGCTTTAATCAGCCACCTGACAGATCATTACTTACAGGTCCCAGAGTGGGTATACAGGACTGACATTCACCTATGTAAAAGAAACCATGAGACAATGTGAACAGTGAGGGAGATTTTCAATGGCATAAATGGGAGTGAAGCAGCCCACTCCCATTAACTCGCAAAATGAGTTGAGCCTATAATAACTTTGCCTTTGAGAAATCCCTCCATAGTTAAATTCACGTTATAACAAAACAAGGAATATGCTATAATCTAAATCTTTCTCTGGAAAAAGAAAATATATGCTGAATATTATTTAATCATTTTAATTAGAGAAAAAAAAAATCAAATATTTTTGCTAAGATCTAAGGGACCTGAGAAGGTAAAACTAATAATATTGGATTAATCAGTTAATTTAACATGAATTAGAGCACACTGCAAGACTTGAATATTTTATTCTAAAATCTAATAACTTTGAGACAAAATAAGTTGTCACAACACAGAACAAACATCCTTACCATATTAAATAGCATTACAACTGCTATGTTTAGATTTCTTTTGTGCTGTTCCATATAACAATGGAAAGAAAAAATTCAATACTAGAAAAAGTACTAATTTAAAATTGCTTTAGGAAAGAAGTTTTTAAAAAGTCTATTTTCCAAATTGCATTTCAGATCATCATCTCAACATTTTTACTGCATCAAGTATTTCCCAAGGCAACAACATGGAGAAGGGAAATAAAAGAAAAAAGATAATGGCGTAACCTTTAATTAGCCAATAGTCTGAAAATACCCCCAAAAGCTGATATAACAAAAATGTTAGTTTTTAAAAATAGAGTATATACACTCAACTCAATTATACATAACCTCAGTATGCACAGAAGTATACTCCCAGACTTTATCAGAATGATTTAAAAAAAAACCACAAAAAAACTTTACTATTACTACCCGCTCCAATTCACATATATTGTATTGTTATAATGCAATGGTCACAGCTGATGTTTTAACTGAGAGAGAAATGGACCAATATCATGTTGAATAAAGTTAATCAAAACTTTTTGTGCAGCCTTCTCAAATGCAATTGTTTTTATAACAAATTTAAGTATTTTGATATATAATTGTCGACTCCTTAATTAAAAATACAAGCACTTGGAAAAAACGCACACATAAAACAGGGCTTATTAATAACAAATGTTAAATCCAAAGTTTCATGCTATTACATAAATGCAATTTATTAGGAAAACTACTGTTAACCTTTATTCAGAAACAGGTCTACCTCAAATTTGTCAATAAAATGAATAATATACATCTTAGAAAAATATAACCCAAAGTAAGAATTATACCTATAGTTAAGGTTATTCAAACTTTCTAATAAAAGAACCTCTTCGAAGTTGCCTTTAACTTTGAAAAAATATTAATTGGTTTCAGGCTGAAATTTCATGGTGGATGTTAATTTTTTTCCTCAGAAAGAGCTAAGGAAAACTATAGGAAATTTAACAGGAGTTACACCTGCTAGAGATGTACCTTAACTGTTGCTTTGAAATTTGACCAAGGTATAAGCCATGCAAAAATCACAGTCCATACATGTTCAGCAAACATTTCTTAGATACAAACAGCTTTTTTCTCTCAAGATTTAACTGCACTGTGGAGGCTGCATTTCCACACAGCTGCTATACCCTGACTGGACAGGACCTTTTTTGCAAGTGCTCCTCCCACTGCTAAGGCTTGCTTTAGAGTAGGCATTATTACAGACAGCAAGGAGAATGTCTCTTCACTGTTAATGTTTCTACTGTTCATGCCCAAAGGAAAGAAGGAAGGCACAACCCAATGCAAATGCGAAGGACTGCAGAGAAATGAGGGACGAAAACAAGGGGAGATGACAATAGGAGCAGAGAAAAAAGTCATCTTTGTTCTCCTAGTAGAAATGACAAGTGTACAAGCAGACAAGGTTCTCTGGGTAAACGTGATATCTTTTATTAAACCAACTAAATAGAAAAAATGTTCTTTACAAGCTTTCAAGTACAAACACCCTTCTTTAGGCATATGGAGAGTCTGCTGGTGTTTGTGTGCTCTTCTGGGTGGAATAGAAGCTCAAGCCAATATGCAAAATGCAGGTCTATGAAAATGCAAATGGGAAGATCAGAGGGGATGGCAGTTAATAGGTAAGAGACAGATAGGTGGGGCAACAGCAAGCATTAATTGATTTCTAAAAAGCCTGTTTGTGACAGTTTCCTCAAAGCCCATTCATCTAATACAGGCAAGCAGCAAGCAGACACTTAAGCTGGGAAATTGCAGGCCTGTTTCACACTTTACCATAACGTGAGAGAAGATGGTATGAGGTCACAGTGCCCAACTGCAGAGGTCTTGAGTTTTCTGGTTTTGGGGAACAGACCAATTTAGGAGAATACTGGGAAAGCCCAAATTAGGTTGTGTGAATGTGATAGGTTTGTGAAACAAAGGAATATGCTGACAGGCCAGAAATCATTATAGTTTCATAGTTTCTAGGGTCCTTCACTTGGAAGTTGGTTCCAGATCCTAGTCGCCCTAACTGTG